TCCATCCACCCACTCATCCACCCACCCCTCCAGCCACACATCCATCCATCTATCCATCTACCCATCCATCCGTCCACCTATCCCTCCACCATGAGTGTTTCTGTATCTGACTATAAATTCTGAAGCTAGCTGGGCCCCTCGGGTCCCTTCCTGCAGCCCCGGGTGTGGCAGAGGTGGGAGCAGTTGCTACATCAGGGAAGCGACCTGCCCCAGGTCACACAGCAAGTCGGTGCCAGAGTCCACACTCCTGACTCGGCCGGGGACTCGGGCACTCAGTTTCCTCCCTGGGTGCTCACCCCCCACTGTCCAGAGGTGGAGGACTGAGGGGGAAGCCACTGTGGCCCCATTCACCCCTGCCTGTGAGTGAGCCCCAGGCCTGTGGAGGCTGCGGGGAGGGTCACAGCATCGAATCTGCACCCCTCCCCCTTCTCCTTCTACAAAGAGAGAAGAAAAACCGGCAGCAGCTGGGGCGATCCGGGGCAGGAGGCGACGTCCTCCTCAGGGAGGGGTCAGGGAGAGAACTGGGACCTATCAGCCAAGAGCCACGGGGGCCCGCTGAAACGCAAAAATATTTAGACAATAAATGAAGTATCGGAAAGGCGTGCATATCTTGAAGAAATCAATCATCTTGTACGGTGTGTCTGGACACTCGGCGCCAAGGCGGAGATAGCGCCTCGCTGGGGAGATAAGGGTTAATCAAGGATTTAATTCTGCAGGAGATAAAGCAGAGGAGGGAAGAGTGGAGCGGGGGCTCCTTCCTCCCCGGGCTCCCTGCAGAGCCTCAGCGGCTCCTCTGGCCTTCGCTCCCCTTGTGCCCCCAGACGTTATCTCCCCACTTGGGAGGGTTTCTAACCCTGCGCCCGTCTCTCCAGAATGGCCTGTGCCCCAGGCCAGAGCAGGACTAAATGCGGAGGCAGGAGGGCAGGCAGGGAGGGGTGACTGCAGCCAGGGCAAAGGGCAGCCCGTGGGGATGACTCCCGAGCGTGTGCCAGCCCCTCAGCCCCGTCATTAAGGAGTCTGCGAGGGTCTCCGGGGATGGGCAGATGTGGGTTCTAGTTCTCCCTCTGCTGTTTGATCCTGGGTACTTGGGCAATTGACTTAGTGTCTTGGAGCCTCAGTTTTCTCATCCGTCAAATGGAGTGGCAGGACCCACCTCGTAGGATGCAGGGAGGAGGAAGTGAGGCTGGGCCTGTGGTGTGTCTGGAACTCAGAGCCCTCTAATCTCAGCCCCTATGGCCTTTGCCCCTGGTGTCTACCTATGGGTTTTCTTGACACTTTGAGAGTTCAGAGATGAGAGCCACGGAGCTCCCAGCCCGTCCGTTCATTCCTCCTGGCAACCATAAACGCCTGCCAACATCCCCACATCCCAGCACTCCAGAAGGATCGACTGCCACTTGCACACGTACAGTGATGGGGAGCTCACGCCCCACAGAGCCAGCTCTGAACACCGTGGCTTCCTTCCTGTGGTGAAGCTGCAATGTGGCTCCTTCCGTGGAGAAAACTGACCACCACTGAGCTTCCACTGCTATTCTTCCACCTCCCTGCTCCAGGCCACGGGGCCAGGGAGCCACTCCTCCTGCCGGGCTGCCGGCCGCAGCGCCCACTGAGCCATGCCCCGTGTCAAACACCACTCCTGAACATCTCACGTGACCTGCCCAGCTGCCCTGGCAGGCAGGGGTGCCATGGGCTTCCCTGCTTCACAGACAAGCTTGCAGCCCTGCCCATGCCCCTTCTCAGGGTCTGCAGGCTCAGACGTAAAAGGAAGCTTTAGGCGCCCCTGTGTCTCACCCAAGGTCCCAAAGGCTGAGGCAGTGGAGGCTCACAGCGGGCAGGGGCCTGCCTGCAAGGAAATGGCATAAAGGCAGGAGACTCCAGGGCCTAGCAAAGGGGGACGCCCTCTGTCCTGGGCCAGCTTCCCAAGGAATCCCTGAGCGGTCTGGGACACGCATCTGCCTGTTGAGCGGCAAAAGGCTGTGTGAACGACCCGGGAGGCCCCAGACCCTATGCCGCCCATGACGTGGCCCCACGCGTACTTACAGGTTTCTATATATCAGTGCCCTTTCTTAGCTGAGACGTGTTTTAAAAGAAACTGTTATACCATCTTCGGAGGAAACCGTACTGACTTGTCGTAAGTCGGAGGTGGCCCCAGAAGTACATCCAAGACAAACCACACAGGCATTCGTGTCTAGCAGCAAGGGGCTGCCTTGGAAGGCTCTGCCAGGCAGGGGCCATCACCAATGAGGTGAGCACTCGTGCCGAGGCCATGGAGACCACGGGCCTGATGGCCGTGCCTATTGTCAGAAGGGTCTGCGGGGACAGATGCAGAACTACCCTCTCGCCCTCTGCTGCAGCGTCCTCACCGTCCCAGTACCCCCAAGGCCTGGGCCACTGCTTTGCTCCTCCCTCCCCTTGAATGCTCTTCTCCCCTGTCCCAATGCCCAGTCATCTGTCAAGGTCCTGCTTAAAGAACCCCTCCTCCAGGAAGTCCTCCCTGAGGCACCAAAGGCCCAATATCACCTCCTACAGGAAGCCCTCCATGGGCCCCCAGGCAGTGAATCCCTCCCTGCCCTCCAGGTCCCAGTGTCTCAGGCCCAAATCTTCCCACAGGCTCTACACACAGTGGCCAGAGCTCCTGGGCTGGCGTCTAAGCTGGGCCTGTCCCCTGGGTCGGTGTTGCCCTGTATCGGGTGGGTGGGCAGGGGCGGGGGTGGGGGCTGCTTACCGGCTCCACCTGCCCGGGCGACGAGGCTCCGGTCTGGACACTCCCGTGGAACGGGCCCCAGGACAGGCCCATGGCGAGGCTGAGTCGGGCCCGTACACGCCTCTGCCCATCCTGCACCACCGGCTCCAGCTCGTCTGCGGGAGACATCGCAGGCATGAGGCGTGCCCGGTCTGGGCCTGTCCAACCCACCTCCCACCAGGGTCGGCCCAAGGGGCAGTGGAGCGTGGCAGTCCTGGGGGCCTGGGCTGAGTGGCAGGGGCCGGCAGG